AACCACCCTTTCCTCCCAATTGTCCCCGAAGAAAAACAGCCGACTGGGGACGCCACCTGGACAGTTCCATTTGATTAGTTTAAGGTTTTTGCTCCTTGGAGTGCTGTGCCAGAAATTTGGACATGGGCAGGGGGATTTAGAAAGGAAAATCACAACATTATTAAAAGATCTCCAGCATCCTTCAGTCACTACAAATTTGAGGCAAAAGTTTAGGTTCTGAGGGCAATGTCAGGAGTTGTGTGTGTTGCGTGATGCTTGGCCTGAGATGGAGTTCTGCTAAGTGTCTGCACCCCTCAGCTGTGTTGCCCGGGTCTGGGGCTCACGGTCATGGAACTCCTAGGAGTGTCAGGCCTGGAATTGTGAAGCTGGCAGGATGGAAGGACTAGGTCAACAGGAGAAAGGGGAGTCGGGGAGGGGCCAGGAAACCCCTGCTGGGACTGGAGGCCTGCCTCAGACTCTTGGGCCTGCTGTGTAGCGTCCTGGTGCAGGTGGAGTCCTCAGGGTTGCCCCGTCTACGGTACAGGAACCTCCAGTTTGGGGTGCAGTGAAGAAGGAGACTTCGTTCCGTCCAGACAGTCTCAGTGGTGGTGCTAGAGCACAGCTGTGACACACAGGAGAAATGCAGCCCCATCCTCCGGGTCTCCTAGCCAGAGGGGAGCTGGCTTATGTGGGCAGAAATCCCCGCCCCTGGTCCCAGATGGTTCCTAGTTTTTACATCCTCATGCAAATGAGGACTCCAGATTCTCTGATTGGTCCAGAGGCACTGTCCTGATTAGTCAAAATAGAGCCACTCTGATTGGCCAGAGCTATGCAGCTCTGGGTGGGGAAGGCCTCAGTCCTGTTGGTCGAAATAAGATTCCAGGAACTCCTTTATCGGTGCTGACTCCAGTGGCGGAAACACGGTGCAGGCCTCTCCCTGAAGAGCAGTTGGCGGAGAGGCCTTCAGTAGGAAGCACTGCTGGGCTCTGTTTTGCTCTGTTTTAATTGGAGCCTCGTTACCACCAGGGGCCCTTCTTAGTAGGTGTCTTTCTCAGGGTTCACAGTTACCACGTCCTTGACTTGCCCGGGCAAAGAGATAACTAGTTGAAGTTGAGTCCGTTTAAAATGGGGGAGCAGGGGCTTGAGGGTAACACAGTCACTGGTGGTATAACAGTGCCAGGACCCCCAGCAGCCCGCACGTGGCCCTTGAGGCAGCCTAAGGCCCTCGCTGGCTGGAGCAGGGGCTGGCTTGGTTGCCCGGTCCTGTGTCACCCATCCTTCCTTGTCTCAGTCCCACATGTGGTTTCTCCTGTAGGGCCAGGTGCGCCTGTCCAAGAAGATGCTGGACCCGGAGAAGCCCCAGCTGGGCATGATTGACCGCTGGTACCACCCCGAGTGCTTTGTTGAGCACAGGGAGGAGCTGGGCTTCCGGCCCGAATACAGTGCGAGCCTGCTCAAGGGCTTCAGCCTGCTGGCTCCCGAGGATAAGGAAGCGCTGGAGAAGCAGCTCCCGGGAGTCAAGAGCGAAGTGTGGGTGGAGGGCCCAGGGGAGGGGGTGGGGGTTCAGTGAGGAGCTTGGTGGAGGCCCAGAGATCCCACAGGTGCATACCAGTCCTGTGTGTCCCCTGGCTAACCTTGAGAAAGCCTGGATGCCGACTCGGTGACAGCGGCTCAGCGCTGCCTCTTCCCCGGCTGCGGTAGTGGAGGGCAGCAGGAAGGGCCGTAGGGTGCTCCTGGTGTCTGATCCTGTGGCCCCTGCGTGACCCAGTTTCCTGCCCCACGGCCTCCTGTGGACATGTTCCTTTGTGTCTGGGTGTCCCTGAGAAATGGTGCTGGGAGGATCATCACCGGTTTTTAATGAGTTGGGAGGGGAGCAGTTCCCTGGTTTAAGGTTTGGAATGGCACGGGTGTCATATGCTGCTGACATTAGGATGGGCAGACCTACCAATGACTCTGTACTGGGTTGCCCTGAGGCTCTGGAGCAACCCCGAGATCGCTCCTTGGCAACTGAGTATGTTCTAAAGGGGATGAAGTCCGTGCAAACACTCCCTGAGAGGCGGCAAGCTGGGCCGCAGAGAAGAGTTGAGATAACAAGATACGTCGTTGGATGTCTCTGCATTCTCGTGGCTCTGGTTCTCTTACATTCTGTGTCTCTTTCAGAAAGAGGAAAGGCGACGAGGTTGATGGGCTAGACCAAGTGCCCAAGAAGAAACCTAAGAAAGAGAAAGACAAGCTTGAAAAGGCTCTCAAGGTGAGTTCTGAGCTGTGCCCTTGGCCATTCTGCCCAGTTCTTCCCTCGCTCTGGGAAGAAAGCTCAAGGAGGTGTGTGTGCCCCTTACCCAGACCTTTAGGAATTCCCAAGTTGATAGCTGCTGAAAAGGCCTG